CTTGTTGGAGGTCGATCCCTAAGACGCACCCTTTTGGTGGTGGGTACTTGTTGAGTACTTTTGTACTCGTGGTTTGCTAAATGTCAAGGTCGCATCCCATCGGCACGCTTGTTTGGTCCTCTTGCCTCTTCTCTCGCTTCTTCTTCAGGGAGGGTGAGCGAAGAAAAATGGCCTTTGGACAAGGCCCTAGTTTGGGGACTAATCCCCAAGAACCCCTCACATTATCTGATGAACGCCAAGAATGTGCTAGATCCCATTGGGAGTAAGGTGTTAAAACTCCACATTGTAATATTAAACTTAAGTCTTCCGCTTATTTACCTCTGTATGTATATTGGGGTTGTGGCGAATCCTCGCTGATGGAAGTGAGCGAAAACATGGACACATTAGCCTTTCGAGCGGACGACGGCGTGTCCTCGTTGTGTTGGGAACTTGCCACTCTCGGCCGGGTTTGTCCACACATCGATAGGTGCAAAAAAAGGCCACGACGAACCGAGGCCTGTCACATCCAGGCGCTTGAGGGTGACATCGGATCTACCCCATGGCTCCATTGAACGATTGGGGAGGGTGGATGCGAATTTGACGACGGTCTGAGATGCGGATGCGAAGTCTTAGGCGACTGGCGGCGAAGGTTGTAGATGCAAAGACAAGGAGGCAATGTACGAAACCCTGGGGACGAACCCCTTGGTTTTATAGGGGCGATGTATGCGAGGAAGGCAACCGTCCGCCTGGCTCTCCACGCCTGCCATGATTCGTCACCACATCACCACGCGGGATATGCGCCGCAATCCCTATCCTTTCCCACCAAAGTCGCGCTGGACATTTTGCCTTCCCGGGCAGACCAGGACTTTTTCCCCACAGAAGGGATAGGGTCAAAAAGCGTTTATCCGGCCCGCCTGGGCCTAGGAGTTCGAGGGCTGGCCCAATGGTTTCGACGACCATCCCAACAACGGGATAGGCCCGCAAGTGGACAAAACTCAGGCGCGCGAGCCTCAAGGGAGTCTCGATCTACGATCGAGTCTTAATCAGGCTGACCCTGGATGAATCCCCGTGAACGGGATACCAGGGTTCCCTTTAAGCTATCCGGCTAGCAAAAAACACCAAATCTCACAACCATACCCGCAATGGTCCAAATTACCCCCAGGCGATTTTGTCCGAATCACCCGGGCTCGGGGGCTACACCCGATGGGTGCGCTCACGCTTCCCTCTGGCGAATCGAAATACCCCCCGGACGATTCTATCCGAATCACCTGGGGGCTACACCCGTCGGGTGCGCTCGCGTGCACCCTCCGGCAAATTCGAATCACCCAGGGGCTCGGGAGCTACTGTCGGGGACCGAATACTGGGGTACCTGAAGATGAGGAGCTAATAACCATCAAATGTTGATGCTTCCAAACAGACAAGAACACAGCTACACTTCTTGCCCAACGACTGAAGGTTGGCTCCGCCTCGCCCGACCCCTGAGGGCCGGTTCCGCTTCGCCCGACCCCTGAGAGCCGATTTCGCCTCGCCCGACCCCCGAGGGCTGGACTCCACTCGCCCGACGTCTGGGGGCAGGCTCCGCCTCGCACGACGTTCGGGGGCAGGCACTGCCTCGCCCGACATCCAGGGGCTAGGCTCAGCCTCACCCGACGTCCGAGGGCAGGCTCTGCCCCGCCCGACGTCCGGGGGCAGGCTCCGCCTCGCCCGACGTCTAGGGGCTGGGCTCCGCTTCACCCGACGTCTGAGGACAGGCTCCGCCTCGCCCGATGTCCGGGGGCAGGCTCCGCCTCGCCATACGTCCAGGGATTGGGCTCCGCCTCACCCAACGTTCGGGGGCAGGCTCCGCCTCGGTCGATGCCTATGCGCTGCTCCTTCATAACTATGCATGCAGATAAGGCAGAACACTCAAATCAACCGCAATACTAAGGACCATACCATGCACGCCTGCAGGGAAGTACCATGAGGATATGACCAGATAGGCGCTTTAAGCCCTTTCAGACATGTCAGAGCCCCAACAGTGTTGTGGACGCGACATTTATCCTACGGTGTTATGGGCGCCGGCATTTGCCCTCGGACACGAATCCTGACGGAAACATACGACAACCGCTACTGTCCAAGAAGGAAACTCATGTCATCTACAGTAATGACGTGGGGCCTCTACGCCGTCTGCTCCCTATAGGATCACGGCTCGGCACCCTGGTGCGCCGCGCCGCCCGCCGGAGTGGGATGGGACGTGACCACTTGCCGAACGAAGCCAGAGCGCGGCCCTATCAGGATCAGCGAACGTGCCATCCATGGCACCATCTGCCATGTCAGCAGAGCAGGCAGGCTCAAAGGAGAAGGAAGACCCGACACTTTCGAAGGACTTTCTCTGCCTCCGGTTTTTCCTTTTTTTCCCATCTGTAATCCTTGCTCCCCCTGATCTATAAAAGGGAGGCAGGGCACCCTACTAGATGGATGGGTCAATTCAACACACCACGCATCACATAACACACAGCTGAGCAGCAACCGAGCTCTCAGCATCCGTTCGACCTTTCCATCATAGATTTGGGACCCGTCCCTCTCTCTACCGTTTGTACCCCTGCTACGAACCTTTCAGTGGTAATAACACGAGCAGCAGCAGTAAATTGGACATAGGGACATTATGTCCGAACCAGTATAAACCTTGTGTTTTTTAGCACACCATCCGAGCCCAACGCGAAACAAATACAAATTTATTAGTTGATGTTTATTCGAAATACCCACAAATTTAGATAAAAACTTGTATAGATTCATATTTAGAATTACTTTTGGAACGGGGGGAGTATTCTTTTGAAACGGACAAAATGCGCTATGACAAAGGCGTTTAGAGATTAGGAGAAGCAAATGCACCCTCTAAAAATTATAAGAACAGTAATGATGTTTAAGCTAGAAAACACAAATATACACGCCTACAAAAGTAAGCGTATCTTCCTCTAGTTTGTTTTAGCTTCGCTACGGCTCATACATGGCTGGTCGCTGTAGTTTGTTTGCTTGCTGCTCATTTTGCAGAGAAAATCTTCTGATCTGCAGTCAGCAAGGGCACGTGCTGAGGCAGCTTTGTGACTTCTCAATCCCGAACATGGTCAGTAAAGCGAGATTATGGCCTTGTTTAGATTGTCTTAAAATTCTAAGTTTTTTCACTCTCTCTTCATCACATCAATTTGTAGACGCATGGATGTACATTAAATATAGATAAAAAAAATAACTAATTACATAGTTTGATTGTAAATCACGAGACGAATCTTTTGAGCATAGTTAGTTTATGATCGAACAATAATTATCAAATACAAACGAAAATGCTACAGTGGCAAATTCTGATTTGTAAGACTCAATCTAATCAAGGCCTAGAGAGACAAAAGATGAACGGCAACATGCCATGGCTTGTCGTTCACTTCACTGCTCTCATCCCTTTTCAATTCCCTGTCAAAATGCCGTCGGAGGTCGGAGTGCCTCGGTAAATGGAGCATTCAGCCTCCATCGCTGCGTCCCATCTCTCGGATCACAGGCTCAGAGGGAGCAACGCACAACGCAGGCAGCGCCCTTCGCCTTTCGGCCAAAGACAGGCACATCGATCAGCAAACCGTACGCGTGGTGGGCGGTGGCTAGTCAAAAGCTGGCACCACCCTCTTCGCTTGAACACCACGGTGAATGAGGAAATCTGGCATCTTGAGCTGTGGAGTTGCTTTATTTTGACTGTGCAAATTGCAATGCAAGTGTTGCGGAAGCTTGTAGTTGAATACTACTGCTAGGCCACGTTTAGTTGGTCACCAAGTTGGCGCCGACCGTTTTCGCGAAGCACTGTAGCTACAGTACTTGTTCGTTTTTATTTGGTAATAATTGTCCAATCATTGACTAATTAGGCTCAAAACGTTCAACTCAAAAGTACTTGGAATTAGTTTTTATTTCGATTTAAGATTTCATGCATATGTAATGAAATCTTCATTTTGTATAGTGTCAAAGTTGATATTTTAGATGAACTAAACTGGGCCCTGCTAGGACGGCCGAAGGCCAGCACCACTGCACCAGGCAGCAGCTCAACTCAACTTGGAGCCGATTGCATAGATTAGCAAGTGGTTAGCAGGTAGGGCCATTGGGCATTAATTGTGGTGAGCTGTGTGGTTAGCACAGTGGGCTGCCTACACCATCAACTGGCCATTAATCTACGGCCACTGTCAGGCACCTCTGTATTCTTCAACATTGTAGGTACCGTTTGATTTGTTGTGAGAGAAAAATATTATTCGTTTGCTGAAAAAATATGGCTCGTAAGCCATGATTAATTTGTTGTGAGAGAAAAATATTATTTGTTTACTAAAAAAAGTACGGCTCGTAAGCCAAGTAAACAGGACCAGGTATAGGTACCGTGGTATCTGTTTCGAAACACCGTTTGTCCTGTTCTACACCATCATCGACGGCTTAAACAAATCAAATGTGCATGAGCCCATTCGTCAGGACAGGCGCTAAGCTAAGCATCGCCGACGCGAATAATACGCATGATGAGCTTCCAACCCAAAAGGCTCCGATGATTCCACCAACTGCTGCCGGCATCATTGGCACTGAGTTTATGATTGCCTATTTGGCATCAACAGCGAATACTAAAGAAACGACACAGCGATATCCTCAAAAGCTATACGCTCGATTCCGATCTGCAAGGGAGGCAAGTACATGACATGTCCGGTTGTAAATCTAATAGTAAGCTAGTACTCTAATTCGTTACTTATATGATTCGATGTGCAAACCGTATGGAGGGGGGAAACAAAGCAGTCTCGCTAACAAACACCTGAAAATTTACACGGATCCGAGGCTACATACTGCATGATCTGAAGCAGCCCTCTCATCCCAGGGTGTCCAACTCCAACTCACAGTGTGCAAATGTAGCTGTAGGCCAATAGCAACCCTTGCGACGAACTAATCGAGGCCAGGTGATCACCGAAAATACAGGTCCACCTGTCAATGTTTACGGCCCTACGGTTTGTGTGGTATGAGTGTATTGAGCTGACATATCAGCTCGTGGCCTCGTCGATGCTCTGCAGCGACGGCCGCCATTGCCGGTGCCGCGCACTGGAGCTCCGGCTGCCGTTGTCCTGACGCGCCAACTGCAGTCAGATGGGAAGAGCAGAAGAGTAATCAGAAGAAGGAACCTTTGCATGTTGCGTGGTTAATAAAATCCGTAGGAAAAGGAAAAGATTCCCGGAAATGATTCCTCCTCCGGCCCTGACATTAGTTGAAACTCACCTATTAATCTATCCCCTAATCTAATGCTGTACTTCCTTCTGGGTGCTATAGCAGCATCAACCATCAGTTAGTTATCTACACTTCTTCTTTTTTCCTTAAAAAAAGATACTACAATCTTCTTGTATGCATTTCATCTGGAATGTTCAAATTGTGATATTTTATTTACTTATTAGTTTTTTTAACCGTTTTGTTTACTTGTCATGATTGTGATTCTCAGTTATGTCAGATTTTTTTTCTACAGTGGAAAAAAACCAGTGACAATAGCAGGTGATGAGGATAGTCACGAGAAGATGAACAGCTAACTACCCCTGAAGGCTGCAGAAGCAATTAAAGGCGCACGGGTCATGGCGAGAGCGTGCATGGGAGCATCGGAAAGCAGTTGAGTTCGAGAGTCAAAGTCTAATCCATCCATGTAATAATCACCTGATCAAGGCTGGCGTCCAAGGCTGCCTCGTCGTCGTCCTCCTCGGCCGCGCCCCTTGGCGTGCCCTGCCTCGACTCCAGCAGCTGCTGCTGCGCTTTCCTCTGCTTCTCTTCCTTCCTCGCCTGCACCGCCTTCGTCAACTCTGCAGCAGCGCAGCGCAAGTTAGCAGCTTGTTCATTCATCAGTTCGTAGCAGGGCACACATGGGCGCGTACTGGACTGATTGTTATTTTTACGCACGGACGACGCACCCTGGGTGGTGATGAGGCGGTAGACGTGGCCGAGGAGCAGCGGCTCCTTGGGCTTGAGCAGCTTGACGCGCGTGAGGCGCACGGTGCGCCGCTCGCCGCCGGGCGCGTCCTGCCGCTCCTCGGCGACGCGGAGCGTGACGAGCGCGACGTAGTGACCCGGGTTGGCGCGCATGACCTCGGCGGCGCTGGTGGACCAGTAGAGCCGCTCGACGCGCCCGCCCGGGTGCTGGAGCAGCACGTTCGCCGCCTCCGCCGCCTGGCAGTTCCCCATGCTGAGCCGACGACTGCGATGGAGAAAGAGGGGAGAGCCGAGAGCAAGAGCAGCCGCTCCGCTCTAGTGCCGAGGTGGTATATATGCCGCTCTAGTGCTCGGATGCCTGCGCTGGGCTCGCGTGGTCGCGCCTCGCGTATGGCGCTGCGCGTTAACGGTTGCCGAGCGTGATAACCGGTGGTTGGTGCTCGCTCGGCGTCGTGCGTGCCCTGGCCGGCGCACGCACCCGTATTTGAGCCAATGGCGCGGTGAAACCGATGCGATGGCTGCTTGAATTCCTCATCATCGGCAAAAAGATCCAACGATCGACGCGGTTTTTGGCCGCTGGGGGAGGGCTGAGAGACCCTCCCGGATCGTTTTCGCTGCCTTTTTCCCGGAGTCGCACGTGAACGGACGTTAGGACGTACGTGTTCGGGGCATTTTTTTTTTGTTGACACCGTGTTCGGGGCAGTTGTTTGTACTCGGCGGCAAGTTTGCAGTGCGGCAACAGCGAGAGGAAAAAGGGAAGCCCCCATGCTCCATCAATTGGGCCATGTTTAGTTCATCAAAAATCTAGAATTTGGCACTATGCAAAAAGAAGATTCACCATCACATCAAATTTGCGCTACATGTATGGAGTACTAAATGTTGACGAAATCAAAAACTAATTGCACAGTTTGGTTGTACTTTACGAGACGAACGTTTTGAGCCTAATTAGTCAATAATTAAACAATTATTACCAAATAAAAACAAAACGCTACAGTGTGTTGAATTTCAGGCGGCGCCGATTCAGACGGCAACTAAACGCGGCCTTGGTCGTTTTCGCGGGGCGCCGTGCGGACCAGGGCGGTCGTTCCATCGGATGGATCGACCATTTTTTTTTTTTGCGACGAAATGATGGATCGACCATTGGGTTGGGTCTTTGGCTTCTCTCTCTCCGTCCCTGCTGCATACGTCTCGTCCACCACCGGCCAACGTGAACGTACGTCGAAAACCGTGGCTCCGGTAGCGGTAGAGTCCATGGCAAACGGCAGCAGCCACCACCGCCGGCTACCGAAGTCTGGCGGCGCTCCGAAGTTCTGATGTGCGTTTCCCACCTGCACGGCTTTGTCCAATAGGGGATTCCCAAGTCGCAAGTGAATTGATCAGCAGACAGCAAAAGCTTGTCTATATTCATTATATTTCTTGTGAAAGAACATCGATCGATTGGTGGCGCTTCCACATTTTCCAAAGTCTATGTGTCGTGTTCTATAGGTGGAGAATATTACCAGTAACAGATTGTAGTTTTGATTGGATCCACCGGTCCACCCGCTGGTTCAGGTCAACCTTCTCTCTGATGATGGGCCTACACCTCACTAACATTCAGCAGACAGTTGTGCAGCTTCTAAGTTTATCATTTCCAAAGTCTATGTCCTGTTCCATAGCCCATACGTGAAGAATATTACTAGTAATTTGTAACAGATGTACTAGTTTGGATCCACATCCACCCACTGCTGTTCAGGGTAAACCTTTTACCTGACGCTGGGCCTACACCTCATTAACATTCATCAGGCAGCTGTGCAGTTTCCATGCATGTATTTTGATAGAGCACCAAACTTCAACTATCTACTGTACTGTATTCAGCTGGATCGGAGCAGACAAAGAACTTTTGTGTTGGGTGTTTGGGAGTACGTATTCTGTATTCATGTGCATGGGAATCTTCTACTTTTCTTTTGTGTAATACCAACCAACATCTGCCACAAATAAAGATGCTCCAAAACGAAAGCTTCAGAAAGGTTTTGCCACCATGCCACGCATCAAAAATTAAATGTTGGTACAGTATAAAAGACCCACTTCAAAGTTCAAACAGCACAATGCAAATTGCAAGCGCACCAGCTTGAAATCTTTAATTGCAACGACACATGTTTGAAATCTTTAATTGCAATGACACATGTTTGAAATCTTTGTAGCTTTTTATTTGTTGATGCTCTCACTTCCATAAAAAAAATGGAATGCAGATGCCACATATCATGGCACAATGCTGCCTCAATAAACACCATTATATTGCGATGACTTGATCATCAATCTTATTTCTACATACACTCTGCAATCGCTTCCCTGATAAGTGATAATGGAATGTGCCGAGTATTTTAAAAAAAATTGAGGCGACCATTCTGCTGTTTGCCTGCCAACCAGCAGCCTCCTGAAAACAAGCCTGTATCAAAATCGTGTCAAACATCCACCTTCGCTTGCAAGTAAAATAAAACTAAATTAAAGTGTCTTGGTTAGGTAGTCATATTAGTAACATAGATGTTTAATAGTTGCCGAAGATGGATTGGGACTCGGCAGAGTCAGCTCTCCTTAATATTGCCAGGGCATCCCATTAAAATTCAAGTTTTTTTCTCTCCGTCACATCATTTTTGAACACACCATGGATGGCCGAATGTGGGTAAAAAATAATTAATTGAGGTTCTCTTTGATCAACAAATCAGCGTGGCTATCAGCAGCAGTGCATCTTTTGGCTGATAGATAGCAAGTTCATTCAGCAACATCAACTGTGTAAATCTGCTCGCGAACGTCTGTCAGGATCATCATCGGTGGTCACCGTAATCCCACAATCTAAACACGGCCTTAATATTGCCAGGGCAGTGTGTGTGTGTGGTTCACGTCTGCTTTTCCGGTGATCGTCCGATCCCAGCTACCACTGATGGCCGACCGATGGGTAGAACACATGCATGAGGTTCTCTTGGTCAACAATGGCAGCGTGGCTATCAGCAGCAGTGCACTGGTACTAGCAGATAGCAAGTTCATTCAGCAACATCAACTGTGTATCAGAAGCTCGCTCGCGTGGTGTCAGGATCATCATCGGTGGTCACCGTAATCCCACAGGGATATGGCAATGCTCGTGCATTGATGAGACCATGTGCACCGGCGCGCGGCTGGCTGCCTTGCTCGAGTTGGCGTCCCGCGCACACTTCCTCCATGCGACCGTGTCATTTCTACTGCTAGCAGTACTAGCTCTCTACGGACAGGGAGAGAAGTAAGAGAAGCTGCCGAAGAAGGGGATGACGTGTTACATGGGAAAGTCTTTGCGGCAATAGACTTATGCAGCGTTAGTGATGCCGATGTGTGAGGCCAGGTGAGGTCAGTATCGCATATTTTTCATCAAGGTGATCAGACCCTAATAACGTACGTGTACGTACCTCCAAGAATTTCACAAGCTTCAGAGTTTGTTAGTATTAAAAAAAAGCTTGAGAGTTCATAGAGGAAAAATTAATGCTTCAGCAGCTCCTACCAACCTGCTATCCCTAGGTGTATACTGCATCTAAAGATAGGGAAAATGAAAGGAGAGAGATATGTGGATTATTTCTGATTCTGCCCTGGTTTAGATTGTCTCAAAGTTTCAAGTTTTTTCATTCTCTCTCCATCACATCAATTTTTGGACGCATACATGAAGCATTAAATGTAGGTAAAAAAATAACTAATTGCACAGTTTGGTTGTAAATCACGAGGCGAATCTTTTGAGCCTAGTTAGTCCATGATCGGACAAAGTTTGTCAAATACAAACGAAACGTGCTACAGTGTTCAGATTACAAAAATTTGCAATCTAAACGAGGCCTCTATGCTTCACACGAGGAAGGAACAGTTCTTGCCCAGTTCTTGCTGTCGCTATGAGTTCAGCACTGAGCAAGTGGCGATTGCGCTGTTATCAGCCATGCAACGCCGTTCGATGGGCCAATCTCCAAATCAGGACCACTGAATCATTTCCCCAATAATTCGAACCTTAGCAGACACGTAGCTGACCTGCTCAACTGTACTTGGCAAGGCTGGTTCCCCTGGCTAAACTGGAGCAAAATGTGGCTGAGAACGTACTCATCTTAAAGGCTTCCAATATATTCATGGACCATATGCAAATCGCAATGCGATTTACGCACGCACGCAGACGCGCCCTGAGTGCCTGAATACGTGTGTGCAGATTGCAACATGGGTGCTAACCCTACCTGCCTTATCATCACTGTCGCCTTTACTGCTTGATGTCTATCGCTGATGTGTGTGGTGTGCCACACCCGTGATCGTACAGTAACGCCTGGCAGCATCCGCCGAGCCCTTGTTTGTCAGGTCTCAGGCCATGAGATGAGAGCATCGCCCTAGCTGTCGATCAGTGGACGCAAGCGAATGATCAGGCTGTGGTGGTCCTCGGTCAGGGCCCGAGAGGGCCATATGGGCCAATCAGGCCCCCCTGTTTAGCCTGTTCTGCTCGTTGCTTGCTCATTGGTTCCACCTACGAGTCGAAAATGACGAGCATAGTTTGAACAAAGACGTTGTTTCTTCAGAAGTTCAGAATTCAGGCGCGTAGGGGGAAAAAAGAGAGGAAAGGCCTGCTTAATTCGATGAAGAAGTTGTTGAAGCCTTGCCTTCCATTTTACAAAAATAAAGATCATCTAGTTGTTGAGCATATAATTAAATTGCCATTATGGAACATTCTTTTGGCAGAAAAATCTCGCCTGAACTTGGCCCACCATACCATGATGAACTGATAAACATGAGAGACGACGACGACGACTTCTGATTATTGTGAATCACCAAATCGGAAGAAGTATATGCCACAAGATTTGGCATCACCAGCCATGTCAACATGCCGTTTATACAGGAATCAGCACCGAGGTCCGCATGATTTCACATGGGAAATGCCCTTCATTCTTCTTTTGTATATAAACATATATTTTATCTCTAATCAGCAGTTTCCAAGGATAACACAACAAACGAAGCCACACGATCATGTGAGAAATACATATAAGAAACAGCCTGCCATGAATCAGAGGATCACAAATGCTCTCTACCTGCAATTGTACACTTCTTGGCAGCAACTGGCCCAAGGGGAATGTTATTGTTTAGACGAACAAAATCTCAAGCTAGCGCCGGCCTTCAACGACCGGAAGAATGCTGAGAATCTAATCTTATATATTTAAAAGTTATTTGGTAGATGCAATCTTGCATATGCACATGTAAACAGCAGTAGGGTCACGGGAGCAATAACAAAC